ATGTCTCTAACTTCACAAAAAACAACTCAAGTCATTGAATTTTAAAAGAGTTGTTCCGTTTTAAAGGGTGTACGAATACCTTTTACACTCACTGTATAATGTGCGAAAACTGATTGGAAATTATTTGTATATGTACTGATTCTGTAACTTTTATTGTATTGCAACGGAATAATGAATTGTTACTGTTCCATCATTCATAATCTCTGGTTGAATATTTCTGGCTGGTAATGTAGGAATAGTAGTCACATGAGAAGCAAAAAGAAAATGTATCCTGAGAATTAGACAATTAATTCCATTAAATAGTTGCTTGGATACGTGTTTATTTATTGGAGACGAAATAGTATTATTTTATATAAATATAATTTTCATGGTTATTTGGTGGAAATTGGTGGTTCCTTAGTTTGCTTTATCTTTCGTTCCATGAAATTCACTGACATGTTTATTTTATTGTAATCTCAAGTGAGTTGTCATTACTACTTCTATACGAATGAAGTAATTTCGTGAAAATAACATGGTCACTAATAACCTATGCAAACGTACAATACTTTGAATATCATGTGTATATTAACCTTGTTGCTTTCCTCGGATCTAAATGACCCGAAACGAAGATTATATTTCAGTAGACATTACGTTTTAAAATATTTATTTTCAAATTTTACGTCTACGTTTTGTGTATTTCTCATTTCGTAAGAACAAATCATTACAAAGTTTGAAATAATTTTACTTAAAGGGATGTAACGTGAACAATGTGCGAGGAGAATAGCAAACTTAACAGACGAAGCTCATCATACCGTAAAAACTTACAGAGGCATTAATTGGAAGTTTCTATTAACAAACACGTTCCCATTCAAGAAGATCGTGGAGTCGTGCTATTGTTCAGCAAATTTACACGCGAGCTTTCCGTTATCGCGGAAGAATGGCCCAAGGGTTCGCAAGATTTCCTTACGAAACCATCATCGTTTCCAGTCGGCCGAAATAGACAAAAGTACGGGGGGTTGGGGGGCGAGAATTTCGAGCGAAAACTGGAAAGTTTTTCGTGTAACTCGGTCCTGTGGAGGGTTGAACGTGTCCTCCCGGTGACAAGTTTACGGGGGTACAGGAATTCTGCCTCGTCAATACTGTATTAGCCGGCGATAAGTTTAAGCTATTTGAATCCTCGTTGAGTTGTTCGGGCTTACCGATCGTGGGGGGGGGGCAACTTTAATGGCTCGCAGATTTAACAGGGCACGGCGCAGAAACTTTGCTACCGACGACAACTCAAAAGCTCGAGGCATTCGACCGCGCGCCCCCCACTTCCCCGTCGAAACGAATTTCTAATTTCGTACACGTACCAACTTGAAAGAGTTTCCGGCCGTTTGCGGCGACGGCGAAACATTCGTGAAAATTAACGGTAGCCGACAATGGGGAAGGTCGTTTATTCACCGTCTCGAGTATATTTCGCCGATCCCTCGAATTTCTCATAGTGTTCCCAACTCTGTGGTACACTTTTTCAGACGTGGAAGGAAATTTGGTACTTGGGAGTTGTTATTTCGGACGAAATTTATGGGGCGTAAGGAAAGGGTAGGTAAACAAGTGGAAAAAGTAATTCTGATTGCGAGGAGACCTTTTCATATTTTACAATACATTACTTAGAGAGTAATTCCATTTTGTAGGGTGTCTCGTAGTGCGAAGTGTAGTCGAGAGAGAATCGATGCGAGGGCAAATCGCGAATTTATCGCGAGTAGACCGCGTCAGTGTCGTATAGAAAATTGATTGTCTTCTTGAAGTGGTCCTGTGAAACGAGAGCTGTGTCAGGGTTCACGTTACATATGCACCTTTGTGATTCAAATCTTCTGCACTCCACTAAAAGATGGTTGGTTGGTACATGTATGTTTGTGACAGTAGCTGCAGTAAGGTGATTCTGTTCTCTTCTTTTTTTAATTAAGCATTTGTCTGTAATTTTAGAGTGGCCGATTTTCAGTCGAGCTATAATTGTGCTTTATTTTCCGTTCATATTACTCATTCCTTTAGTGGTTTTATTATAATAAACATCGTCATCCATTAAAAATGCAATTTCTCATAGTAAAATTCATTATACGAACTACAAGAAACAAAACAGTTCTATTTTTGAGGAGGTTATTTTTAGCCACTTATATCCTACATATTTAACTTATAGAATATCTCATACATGTTAGACTTAGAATATCCCATCAAAATTAATTGTAATGATCATATTAAACACATGGGAAATTATAGCTATGCGGAACAGAAGAAAATAATATTCTATTCTATTTGAAATTAATATCTTCTCAAATTCTATGCGCTACAAATAATTCTTTGTTTCATATTCCCGTAAAATTCCTCTCGACGGAACGTTAACGATTTTACATTCTGCTTAACGCGTGTCGCTAACGAGTTGTCGGTAACATGTTTCACGGAGTTCTCGTGACAGAAATGAAATTTAAATCCTCTCGCGTTAAATATCGGTTTAACGACGTTATCGAATGACTGCGTATTTCCTCCGCGTTCAGAACGTGCGTTTATACGTCGGCGCGTTTAATCGTATGACGATGCTGCTTTAATTAATATGTTTATCCGTGATACATTAACGTGACGCGTTATACCATTTCGGCAGAGCAGTAATTTGCGGAAGAATAACATTTGACAATTTCGCATTAATCAGTCGCGCATTAATTGTCTTTTTAATCGTCATGCGGAAATTAAGATATCCAATTTCAATCGATAACGTAGAATCTCAATAATTAACCACATATCAGTTAAAACAAACTGAAAACTTCAGCTACATTTATAACACTTTTTCGTGTTTTCTAACAACTTACGCCATTTCGCCGAAATAAAAACTTGCAAAATAGCCCAAATTTACATTGCACTGTTAATTCACTTTTAATTTAATTTAAAATTTACGCTAAAAATATAGAGTATTATATATCAGGTGTGCCAATAAGTAATTCAACTATACTTCCACTATGGTGACAATACATTTTAGATTCAGAATATCATTCCAATCTTCTGTGTAGTCAAAATGTCGAAAAATAACTAATATTGTTAAAATAGGATAGGTATTTGAAATATTTCGAAACGAACATGTTTCACAAAAAATAGTAACCTAATATTTACACATTGTAACAGTTATTATTATTATTGTAACAAAATTCAGAATTTGCTTCGGGATGCGCCTTTGATTCACGAAACATTTGTAGCCTTTGTGCCAGTTTAGCATCGAAACTTTTCGATTGTTCCGATTTCTGTTTGCCTCGAGTAAATAGTTTGAGCATTGTACACCTCGAATCTGCGGAATTCATCTTCCACGGTATTGGAATTTGGCAGATATCCCGGAAGATTTCTGAACTTGCTGGCGGTCGCATCAAGTGCGAGTTTTGCAACGTCATCTCGCTCTAATCGACTGATCCCGGTTAATCTGTGACTTTTTTATTTACCCCAGGCTGACGAAAATGAATCCCCGGAGAACGGATCTCCTGGCTGAATTAAAACGTCGATCTGTTTGTTACCGAATCGATCGATTTTCGGCCCGATTCCCTGCAGAACATTCCTTGTAATTCTCATTATACATGTATAATACATACTTTATTCAATTCCTGCTTAAAAATACCAAACGCAATTATAATAATTAGGCTGCGGAAATGTATGCAAATGCAGAATTTGAGATACCAGTTTTTACAAATTAAAATGAAGCAAAATTTTTAATTCTGTAGATACTGGAGGTTTTAATATATTCAGAATAACACAAAAACAGAATTAATTTTTAACGAAACCTATATTTTATCGCAATTTCCAAGATAAAAGATACTATAAATGTATAAAAATTCACAGTCTAATATTAATCATTGTTGCTATGTTAAGTTAAAATCAGAATATTCTTCATATCACGTTGTTGGTACATAGTGTAATTCAAATAACTTTATTATTTGAACACTTTTATTATTTACAGTATTTAAACATCAGTCTGAATTTTAATATATACATAATAAATATAGATTAATAGGATTTTATTTAAATAACTGACTATGAGTATGGCCCTATCATTTTTCGGAAACGATCCACTTATACTAAATTCACTATACGGATTTAATAACAATTACGTTAATATTCATATGGAAATATCGTTTGTTGTCATTAAATGTAATTTAATAACAATATAATGTAATATAATGTTAATTAACTCTGTACATAATCGATTTATAATAGAATTTAATTCCCATACACCGTTTACGCTAATCACACCGACAACCAAATTTCAACATTTAACAATTTCGTAGATTATAAACATTTATAAACAAATGTTATGCAAGCGGTTCTTTAATACAGTAAAATTTATTTTAGAAGTAGTACATTTTTCCAGTTTAATTGTAATCTAACCCGACAAAGAAATCGTAAATTGTATACAGCACAGAAGAACATTTCGTCTGCAATTATATTATCAAAGTTAATTATTAGGCAGAATAGAAATACTCATATAATAACTTTGTACAGAAATTATACCTAATTGTGTGTTTACACAATTTCGATGTAACACGACCCAGAGAAAAATCCAATTCTCTACACGATATTTACTTTGATCCAACACGCTCCGGCAAATTTGCCCTTTTAAAAATCTTCACGTAACTTGAATCCTAAATCCACATATTCCAGCATATTGCTCTACAAAATTACCCTCAAGTAAACAACATTCCTAATTAACTTATCGTCTCCTATTTGCCGGTTTTACGATCTAGAGACAATCCTCCATTTTTCAACAAATTTTTCTACAACCTCCTATCCTCTAAAAGCAGAATCAACTGTACACACTTTCTCGTCAAAAGAACATTATCCTCCGATCGCTCAAACGTGTACCAGTCGCCAAAACCAGTCCAAATAATCCAACTTCCACTGCAATTCTCTTGTTTCTTTCC